TTATTATATATTTTACTATTATATATTCTGTAAAAAAAACAAATTTTTTTATTCATATATCGATTAGTAGATATTACCTTTCTTTTTTAATATTTATTTTAGTCATTTGATCATCTGCTTATTTTTTACGTCTCTCCTACTCTGTATATATTTCAGGCGGGATTAAGCGGACTTTTCGTACTTTAGAAATACAGTAGTCCGCTTGTTTCTCTTTGATATATTTTTGAATAATGAATGAGTACAATATTCATCTTCATCCTTACCTGTATACACTTTATTCGGAGTGAAAACGATATATTCTAAACTGTAGATAATCCATTTTCTATAGAACCTTAATATGTTGTATCCTTTTTAATATTAAAGTACATATGAATAAAAGTACATTTGAAATAATAGTTCTTTTTATTTATTAACAACTAGTGTAAAGTGATATGACAAAATATTGGTTTTTATGTTTTTCTTCTGTATAATATTTGTTGATAATGACAAGAGAAAGAAAAAAATGAAATATTAACGTCACACTTGTTTCTATCGAATTATAAAAGTCTCACTATTCGTTATTATTTGTGAGCATAAAATAAAAATTATTTTTCTAATATGATAAAAAAAACTCATATTAATGTTCTCGTGCTGATTTTTTTGGTTATGATCAATCAAATATCAGGTAATCATTATTGTTTACAAATGATGTTTTGTATTTAGATTTTATTTCAAACTTTGTTTCCAAAGCAACTTTACACCGAGTTGAGATTTTGAGGATGTGAATTACGAGAAAACACGCCCATTTTCAGTATTTTGAATATTAAATCTTTCCGAAAATCATATAATATTTTTTCTTTAAGCATCTTCATTTAATCAACCGAAGTTTTCTCCAACAGCCATTTGGAACTCCAATGGAATTACCTATGCTAATCAATCGATTGTTGGTCTATTTCCTCGCGCCGTTTTTGTGAGCAAAAACAACACAATTTATACCGTTAATCAACAAAATAACACAATTCTCATATGGCATCAAGAGGGTATCAATCCAACAAAGATCATTGAAGGTAATTTTACAGAATCCAGTTCGCTCTTCGTGACATCGAATGGTGATATTTATATTGATGATGGCAAGGAGAACGGTCAGGTACAGAGATGGATAGCGGAAACAAATACCTTTGTTACAGTGATGAATGTCAACTCATCATGTGATGGTTTATTTGTCGATATGAATGATACTCTTTACTGTTCAATGCCTGGTCATCATCTAGTACTGAAAACATCATTACATGATTCTGACATAGCTTCAAATTTTGTTGCTGCTGGAACAGGTATTGAAGGATCAGCTTCGAACCTACTCTCACATCCTTTTGGAATCTTTGTTGATGTAAATTTGGATTTATATGTAGCAGATTGTATGAATGATCGAGTTCAGTTGTTTCAATCAGGAGAATTAAATGGCATCACAGTAGCTGGAAATACATCACGAAATCCAACAATTATACTTAGCTGTCCAAGTGGAATTATATTAGATGCTGAGAAATACTTATTCATTGTCGATCAATTTAATGGTCGTATTGTTGGTTCCGACTTGAATGGTTTTCGATGTTTAGTTGGATGTCATGGACAAGGATCACGATCTAATCAATTATTAAATCCGTTTAGTTTTAGTTTCGATACTTATGGAAACATGTTTGCTACTGATCAATATAATCATCGAATTCAAAAGTTTTTATTGATGAAAGATTCTTCTCGTAAGTTGAATAAGATGAAAACATGTGAATAGATCATCTTGAGGGTGTGGGTGTGAAAGTGTAATTTATTCGTCATTCGTAGTGACCTACACCCACACTGACAATTTCATTTCGTTTACAGTTCTTGTCTAATATTCTTTATATTTTTTTCGTCTTAGCTCTTTCATTCAATCAACCAAAATTTTGTTCAACAGCCACTTGGAATTCCAATGGAATTATCTTTGCTAGTCAATCGATTGTTGGTCTATTTCCTCGCGACATTTTTGTGAGCACAAACAACACAATCTATGTTGCTAATCAAGAAAATAATACAATTGTAATGTGGGAAGAAGAGAGTGCCAATCCAACAATAATCATTTTTGGTAATTTTACAATACCTATGTCTCTCTTCCTGACATCAAATGGTGATATTTATATCGATGATGGTCAAAAGAATGGTCGAGTACAGAAATGGATAGCAGAAACAAATACCTTTGTTACAGTGATGAATGTCAGCTCATTATGTTCTGATTTGTTTGTCGATGTCGATGATACTCTTTATTGTTCAATGTCTCAGCATCATCAAGTACTGAAAAGATCATTGAATGATTCTGACATAGCTTCAAATTTTGTTGCTGCTGGAACAGTTAATTCTGGATCAGCCTCAAATCAACTTTATTATCCTCGTGGAATTTTCGTCGATGTGAATCTGGATTTATATGTGGCAGATTGTTACAATGATCGTGTTCAACTGTTTCAGTCGGGAGAATCAAATGGCATTACAATAGCTGGAAGTACATCACGAAATCCAACAATTACACTTAGTTTTCCAAGTGGAATTATATTAGATGCTGACAAATATTTATTCATTGTGGATAGTTTCAATAATCGTATTGTTGGTTCCGACTTGAATGGTTTTCGATGTTTAGTTGGATGTAATGGAGGGGGTACACAATCCAATCAATTGTATAATCCATTTAGTTTTAGTTTCGATCGTTCTGGAAATATATATGTTGCTGATTCATTAAACAATCGTATTCAAAAATTTTTTTTCCTAAACAGTTCTTGTGGTAAGTATTGAAATGCTTTAATACAATGTTCTATTTTTGCATAGTAGGATTAGTTTTCTACAAAAATTCTGGTATTAAAGAAAATGATATAGTAGTAAAAGCTTGTCATAGAGTTCTTGGTCTATACAAATCAGCTGATCTTCTATTAAAAAATTTATTTGATTCTCGATTCTAATAAATATGTAACTCACATATCACTCACGTGTTATGCTTACTTATTAGTAATTGGAGAGGGAAGAAGTGCCAGAAAACTTGACTTAAAAGTTACGTGAGTTCCACGAAATTGAAGCGAAATGTCGAATACGTGCTAATTATATGAATAATACTAGTCATTAGTTCTAAACACATAAGGCACATCTAGGATTATTGAGCAAACCTAGTTGTACTGATCATAATTCAATCACATAATTAACTGAGAAATTCTAGTCAAATGTAATAACTTTTAACAGTTTCTTTCGAAAGTAGTCCATAGACATATTTGTTATTTACAGGAAAACGAGTTGGTAAGGCTCAATAGATAATAAACTTGGGTGTGAGTGTGCGTTTAAGAAAACTGAATTATCTTAATTCGAAAATAGAATTACACGATAAAGATGGCTTAATGAAAATGATAAAAACATGTGTAAACATCGATGCTTCAGTGAATGTGTTCTAACGATCGAAAAGAAAAAAGAAGTATGAGTATTTCAATGTATCTGTGAATGTTAGAATTAATGAAGTTATGAGTAGATTTGGAGATATGGATGAGTGCGCGAATATCATACTTATCTTCAAATCGATTCGTTTTTTAGATATTTCATCAACATCAACATCAACAACAACAACAACAACAACTGTTTCATCTATATCTACATCAACAACAACTACATTCAGTAAGTAAAAGATAATATCCATAAATAATATTGAATTAATTAGAAAAATTTTAAATACTCATTTTCTAATCAATATAATATTCCAAGAGATTAAAATGATTTAGTTTTTTAAATAATTAATTCTGATGAAAAAATTGAAAAATTGATCTTGTCTTTTAGCAACAACAACTAAATCATCATATGCTTGTATGAATTATCGTCCTACATGGATGTTAATTATTACTTGTTCAATTATTCATCTAATGAAAAAACTAATCTAAACTAATATTTATTTTTAAATTCGTTTCATAATTCAGCTTATATTATTTAACATTGCTTTGCTTTTTATCTTATTAATAAATTTATGTAATCTATTACTCTATAAGTTTAAAATTCAACTGAATTCATTTAGTTTTCAACAAACTAATTTAAAAATTGTTATGGAGCCGAATGGTAATCTGATTGCTAATAATAGTTTACAAGAAAAGTTCAAGGGTTTACAATTTCAAATTAGGGTGGGCGTGGGTGTTTATTTTTTCTTTTCAACACCCACACCCTAGTTGAAATCAAAGCGCTACCCTCAGAGCAAAAGGTTATGCACAACTCTGTAGGGAAAAGTTTTTGTTGGTATCTTTGTTTATATAGAAGAAAATGAATTAAATCATCATATGATATTAAAACATAGAAAACAACAAAAATAAAAATATGTCCCAATAAACGATAGTTTAGATATAATAACTAGAAATTAATATATAATACATATATTATTGTCTCGTTGCAATCGAACCAAACAAACCGTCATTCAGAGGTGTAACGCGATTATGTTGAATTATTTTAACAACAATCATTTTTAGTTGTGGTGTAAAAATAATCGTTGATATGCATACGCCTATCATTGATATACTAATGAAGAAAAATACAAAAGGAAAGGTAAGAAGATCATCTGTATTTGTAATAAATGACTTCACTAGAAAAACTATGCCAGGTATTCCAAGACTTATTAATAAAGCAACAATTATAAGAATACGCCGAATGATAAGTAAATCACGATCTTGTCGTTGTTTAACTACAAGTGTTGGAGTATTTGTTTGACGACGAAGAAAAATTGTAATGCGTATATAGATAAATAATAATACTCCAATCTGACTTCCATAAGAATGTAATGCAAGCCAAAGCTCACTAAACACTCTAGTAAATGGTACAAAACAATAATAGTTTTCTGGAGAATAAACAACATTATGTAAAAACACAACTAAACTCATTAAAATACAACTTGAAATTAATTCGATCAATGGTAAAATAATATATAGTCGATATGATTGAAGCCATCTTATTGTTGGATATACAACTCGACCGAGACGAAACAATGTCTAAATTAACAATTAAAAGAAAATATTTTTCATTGTTCTAGTATACTAATCTAAATTAATCTATAATGAATTACCTGATTTACAAAAGCCCAATATAAGCTACTGATTAGAATAGAAATTAGATATTCTGAAAATATACACCATGATGAATTAAAATCATATCCATATAAGTTTCCTAAAACTGATTGAATATTAATTACTGCTAATAGTCCAATATAGGCCGAAACTAATGAATAAATATTAATACAATGAATAATTATTATTCGATCTTCTTGTTGCAAACGATTATAATAAAGATGATGAATGATACAAATTAATATACCACATGAAAATAAACATGTTAATGAACAAATAATAAGTGTCATAAAACACAATATAAATACAATTTGATTCATTTTATTCTTAATAATTTTGACTGAATAGTATTACAGGAAGTCACACGATCTATGAAAAATATTTCCGCTTTAATTAAGATTTAAATTTACTTTTAATTATCTCAATGTATTTCATGTTAAATATAGAACATAAAATTAATACGACTTGGATGAAATTTTATTTTCTATATCTAAACGCAATTTAAAGTATTTTATATTGTAATCATATTTGCATAATCAGACAAAAATTTTTTCATAGGAAATATAAATTCAGAAATGATGCTATCCAAGAGAAATGACGGATACAACTGTAATTTAATTGGTTTTATAGAAATAAATATGACATAACATAGATTTTGTTGTAGTATTTTACAGAATTTGATCCCGATTATAATATAAATATTGAATAAAGAATAGGTTTTCAATAGGAAATTTTCATAAAGAACGACAACATGTAAACTATTGCATTATTCTTATACGAGAAAGTTCTTAGAGAGAGAAAACTTTCTGTAGCATAAAATTATTGTAATTTTTATATAATATTTTAGTATAATTATTAATTCATTACAATAAGCCATTCGCCCATTCCATGTAATCACGGAACGCAAAATCGATGCGTTAACACGTAGTTAGAAAAAAATGTCGTATTAATTACGTGTAGTAAGGTATGCTAAGACCATCGAAAAGTATTGTTGATGGCGGCTCAGTTCGAATCTAAGATGGATCTGAATATATTTTTAAAAATTTTTAGATTTTATATGAAACGCGTTTGAACGCTTCGTTTGTTTCACAGGGGATGCATTCAGGCGCGTTCACTCTTTGCGTTTCGCACGTATTTTGAAGCAAAAAATATTTACATGAGTGAGTACAAATAAATGTAAGTATACACATTAAAATAAGCTTGTTTTCAATATTCACAAGAAGAAAAACACAGAAAATACAGGAGAAGAACTGATCTTTCGTCCTGAATTATTATTAGTCATGCACACATAGTTAATACAATATAAAAAAACCATTCATAATCAAATATTCAGATAATATCCATTCTCTTCATGCTATTTAATTGTGGTATACATAAAATTCTCTGTATATTTATTCAATGTATTTTGAATATTTTTAAATTTGGAAAGATTTTTTGTATCTTTTTCGAAGTTTAAAATGAACCATGTTAAATTCAGTGGAAGAGATATAAAAGTTTCGATATATATTCATAGAAGATAGTAATCTTATTTTTTAAAGATTTACCAATCTAAAATCATTTTTTAATTCGAAAGTAATTGATATGGATTTAGAGTAGATCGAAAATGTGAGATCTGAATGAAAATATTGTTCCCCATCTGTTCGTTCTGATGCAAGAAACAATAAATCAGATTTATGAATTGAACGAATAAAATTGATTACTAAACTCGGCAGTTTGTCATTATTTGAAAATTCTTCTTCAACATTGACTGACATTAAAGTTAATGATCGAAGTTGATTTTTTGATGAAGCAATAACTTTAAATACATAATGTGTAACTAAACAAATTGAAAGTTCACGTAAGATTGATATTGATAGAACTTTAATAATAAATGGAGTTATGTTCAATGCATAATTAAAATCATTTCTTTTCACATTATTAATGTCAAGTGATTAGTGTTCTCGAAAATGATTTTTCTATTGCAGATGAACAATGCATAGAACACATCAAAGATTTAAATATTAATTTTTCAGACTATCGATGAAGAACGAAAATGCCACTAAGTATTTTATTCTGTGAAAATTTCATGATCTGTACAAATCATATTATCTAGTTTACAAAAATTCTCGATAGTGTTGTCATTTATTATAATAGTTTATAAAGAAGAAAGCTGTTAGCGCAATCCCTGGCGGGATTAAAATGTGAAACACGAGCTAACTGTTGTTTCTACCTTCAAAAAGATAGTTTAATTGTATCTTTATGAAGCGGATTTTGCCTCATTGTGTGGCATGAAGGTAGAGAAATATAGGAAAGAAATAATTTATATATAATGTACTCGCTTTATTAGCGTTGTAACAGTTGTATGAGTGTCAATATCGTAATATTTTCTTGTTTATGCCTACACCCACACCCACACCCTATACAAAGGCCTATGATACCTTGTCGGTCACGTCTGTGACCAAGTCAAAAGAACACGTGTCGGTCACGTCTATGACGAGGTCAAAAGAACATATGTCGGTCACGTCTGTGATGGTCTATGATATCATGTCGATCGCCGCCTTTGATGTTCGGTCGGTCACGTCTGTGATGTTATGTCGGTTACGTGTGTGATTTTTTGTCGGTCACGTCAGTGGGGGGGGGCGGGGGGTAGTGGGTCCAAATTTCTACCCCTAAACACTTCAACACTCCTTTTAGTTCGTGTTTCACAAAAAATACAGAGGATTACTGTTACTTACTATGTTTTGATTGTAGTCTAAGTATATCAAAGAATGTTGATTCAACATATGCAACTTTTTTCAAAAAATACTACAAGTTCAAATAGTTCTATTAATATTTATCTTTGAGGAAGCTTTTTTTGTATGTTAATGTAATATTGATATAGAAATATATGACTAATGTTTTATAAAGATGAAAGATAAATGTTGTCCGGAGAAAAATGAATCCTCTTCTACGCCGTTTTGTTGTTATATGACATCATAGTAAAAACACATGCTACCGTTTATCGCCGTCAAATATACAACTTTGTCCTTTTCTATTGTTGTGTAGGTATCATCTGTGATATTTACTTTATTACAGTATATATACGTCATGTAATCTTTAGTATTTAAGAGATTTTATAAATATATTTGTACGTGAAATATATGAGAAAAAAATGATTAGTATACCGGTAAATCCTAATTCAGTATATATACCTCTTGTTCAAAGTAATTATTCATTTTTTAAATTTTCTATTCTTTAATGTTTTTGTATTATTAGCTGGATGTTTGAAAGCAGAATTTGATTCAACATATCCAATTCATCTTAATGGAATAATTAACCAAAATGAATTTCAAGAATCAATTCATAAAATTAATCGTACAATTGCTTCAAGTAAAATTTTATTAATCGTAGGCGTTGTTCTTATCTTGACTTTTATAATTGGTATAATATTATTTATTGTTGGTGGAGTAACAGCAGCTAATAATGTACGACGTGGGTTTCCTGCATTAGTTGGTGTTGGAATGGGTATCATTATGTCTGGAATGATTTTTTGTTTTATTGCATGTTGTACTCTACAACTTCGACGTGCAGAAACAATGCGACAAGCAATTGCAGAAGAATCAAGAAAATATTCTTCTCGATCACCAATACCATGTAGTTGGAGATTAGATATTCCAACAAATTATGGTGGATATTACGGAGATCAACATACACATCAAGCCGTTAATCATGTAAGTTGATTTATTTTTGAATAGATTTGTTAATATCTTTCTTTTTAGTTAGTAATAGATATTGGTCGTTCTATTGCTCCTGGAAGTGTAGCATATTATCCGAATCAATTTGCTTCGGATCAAACAATAGCTTTTGGTGAACAAAGTAACTATGCACCTCCTCCTTATCCTGGACAATCAGCAGGATTTTGTTCCCAATGTGGTGCACTACGCCAAGCTCTCACAAGTCAATTCTGTTCATCATGTGGGCATTCATTTAATAAACATTAAATATATATATTTCTATCAAAATATCAAATTTAATATTCAAAAAAAAGTTTTTCTTATCAATGAACAGATGAGAAAACTGCAATTTTTCTGTTATTCTCTTCAAACACTTACCGATTTGTATTTATCTATGTTCATGAAATTCTATATTTAATGATTTTTTTACTATATTTATGATGCATATCTTATTCATGGTTAAACTTTGACGATTTTTACAAATTCATAAAGGTCGCAAGTGCCATTTATTGATTATCTTATTAATAAAAAATTTTCAGTATTAGAATAATCATAAATTTATATTATGTCTATTATTATACACAGTTGCTGAACGATGTTTGTGATGTAGTGGCACTAGTCATTGAGATTATTCCCTATATAGTGTCATTCTTTCTCTTCATATCTCGTTTATTCTACATTCATCACGAAACGTGACATTTATTTATTATAAACATATCGAAATAGATGCCGAAAAAACGATGTTATTTTTGTCAAATAGCCGAACGAGAATTTAGAAAGTTCTACAATCGAAGCAATAGATGGTCTTTGTCTAATGAGATTCTGGACGCATTACATGTAAACTATGGCATAAAGGAAATAATCTAGCTGAACACAGTCGGTATTTTGAAGGGTTCATGGTCGGGAAGAGTGTGAGAACAACTTTGTGGATGTAGGTAAGGCCTAATAAAAGATACTACCATACTCATCTCAGAGCAGTTACATGAGGCTTCTAAATATTTTAAGCACTATGAACATACAATTACCAAAAGCTGATAGGAACTACCTCTAGGTATCAGGGACCACCTTAAGGGTGCAAGTGTAAATAAAGAGTAACGATTCTCATTCACCCACATTCAGCCTTCTTTCGATGCAATAAATGACAAATTATCAAGTGTGATAACATATTTCGATTTCTAACAAAAGTTTTCACACTGATTTGTTAATAATTTCATTAGAATTATATTTAACAATGGATTATATGGAATAGTAATTCTATATTTGATTGATTAGTCTTTTAAAAGATGTCCCTCACACACCTAAGTAAGAAAAGAACAAGTAGACAAAAAGATTAGTCATTTGCTAACCGATACGATATGTTCAGAATCGTCTTTTTTGAAATAATCCTGGTTTTGTTTTCTTTCGCAACGCTTTTCAGTACTCTCGCTGTACAGATAAAATTATTTTCATTTTTTTACTTCGTATTGGAGTAAAAGAATCGTTTCTTCACTACACTACGTTAGTTGTTGAAGTGAAGGAACGACAAAAATATATTGTAATAAAAAATAAATAAACACTTTTTCATTCTTTCTTCAAATGAGAAAATTTTCTCTTTGCTTAATACGAGAATGAATAGAGGAAAGGTAATGGAAAAAGAGTATGTCATCTGTTTCACCGTCAGCAACACATTATGCGTTTTCTAATAAAAAGAAATTTTCATCAGCGTCGACCGTCGCTTACATTATATCGTGATATTTTTAAAGAGTAAATAGAAAAATATAAAATCTTGGTTTCCATAGTACAGCTGCTTTACAGACGAAGTAGTATGTAATTACTGTCTAGTTTTTCTCTGATACAATATTGTCAAAGACAAAAAAATTTTTTTCTTATTTTCAACCAATCCGATGCTAATTTGAGGAATCAAATTTAGAGAAAGAAGAAAAAATATCACATTGTTTCATTTCTAGTTGGAAAGAAAAGAGGAGAGAGCTGTTTCAAACAACGTTTCCTTCCCAATATTACTTCAAATAATCAAATACTTTGTGAGTATTGCCTGTCATAAATAGAAATCGGATAAAATGGAGTACTGATTAGAATTCAACGTATTTTCTCACTAGTGTATTTACAAAGAAATTGAAAAGTCATTTAAAATTCACAAACAGTGTATTTTTCGAACTGATTCTTGATTTCATTTTTATAACATCTATCGTTTTTCAAATGATATTACTCTGATATGTCGTATAAAATTTTATATAAAACCAGAGATGACAATTTTAAACTGTTTTGTGACAGATGAATAACTTAGTTAAAAAAATATCTTCCTATAGGATAATGTCATATTCTTCAAAGACATCAGGTCTAAACTTTGGGTAGGTAGTCATTTCTAATAGAGTTAAAATTAGTGGACTTTTCCGCTTGATCTTAAGCAGTTATACCAAAGACAGCCTTTAATTTGTAAACCAATCTACTTAAAAATACTCTTAGCACGCGTGATCAATCAAGTTTCGATGAGTCTCAGTAAATTATGGAAAAATACTACGTGATAAGAAGAATTTTATAAACTCATTCTGAGTGTCAAAAATATTCAAAAACCTGTTAGTTTTCATATTTACATCATGGTAGCGGTAGAAGCACAACCATTCGGCTTACACCTCTATTTGTATTACACACATACTTTCTACTTTTTTCTGCCTTCCGATGATAAAATTTCTGTCATTTTCTGCTTTTCGGACTTCAAAAGGTGACAGCATTGCAAAAGTTGTGAAAGAGATGAATAAAACATTCTCACATTCTCACTTACATACTTTTGAAGATGCAAAATTAATGGATATATATGTATGAAAAAATGCGTCTGATTCCGTCATATTAACTGCTCTTCCCTGAATATGTATTTCCGTTTCCTTCGTAATTTTTCTAAAAATGATCTGTACAGTTTTTAGAAGAAATGAAAAGCATTGAATATAAACTGTTCTATGTAGCAACACTGCCAATGAATCTAGTCTTCAAAATTACAAAATCGATATATCTATGAATATAGAGCTATTCAAGAATTGAAGAGATTTTTCATATCGTTTAGAATCGCAAATATGGCTGCACAACCAGAGAAACGCGCATTTAACGAACTGCTGGAATGTCCAATAACAGGTGTACGCTTCGTTGATCCTGTAATCGCTGATGACGGACATACCTATGAGCGTTCCGCTATTGTTCAATGGTTGCAAAACAACAGCACCAGTCCAATGACGCGAGAACCAATTTCACGTAATTCGTTACGTCCAAATTACGTTGTTAAGCAAATGCTTGAATTAGATCAGCGATCAGCAAAACAAAACTACAGATTCAAATTGAATGTCGACGTAAAAAAGAAAGGCAACCGAGCGTTGTTTCAAAATGGCGGCAAATTTTTGTACGAAGCTGAATGGTTAAACAATCTGCAAGGACCCGAAATAGTTCTTCTACAAATTCGTGGTGCACGTGCTCTAAAAGAAGCATCCTTCTATGTTAAACTGAGCCAACATCGAAATATTGTGCGTACATTTGGTTTGGTTGAAACAGGCGATGAGCAAAATACTGGAATGACGTTGCTTCAAGAATATGCACCTTTAGGAGATCTTGCCGAATTGTTATTAAATGCTTCTATATTGCCTCAAAATACGGGAATTTTTTACGAAATTTTTCTTCAAATAATCGATGCCTTGGTCTATCTCACAGAGAAATGTATCGTTCATGGTGATTTAGCCTGTCGAAATATTCTCGTATTTAAGTTTAATCCTACCGATTCCAATCAAAATCTTGTCAAATTGACTGATTTTGGTTTGGCTCGAGGAAGTTCTCTTTATCAGACCACAACTTATACAACATCAACTATCGCTATATTTCCACTTCGATGGAGTGCACCCGAAATTATACAGGCAGCGACTGATCGACAATGTTACACGGAAAAGTCAGACATGTTTTCAATGGGTGTTCTCATGTGGGAAGCTCTTTCTAAGGGAGCTTTTCCATGGCAGGAATTGACAGATGATCAGGTCAAAAAAAAAGTGTTGGGTGGTGAACGACTGAAACGACCGGCAACAAACATGTGTACTGATCATCTATGGCCAATCATTTTGAGATGCATGAATCACGAACCACAATACCGGCCAACATTCAAAGAGTTGCACCGTCTGGTTTCAAATTTATATCCTAACAGGGTACCACTTAGATCAAGTATTCCAAGTCTCGATTTGCAGCCGTCACAAGCAGCGTCTACAAATATCTATTCGCAACCGTCACGATCAGCGACTATGAACAGAAACCTAGATAGCATACTCTCTATTCTATCTGGGGCTGTTGCATCAGCACAAGTAATCGGTAAGATCACATGTTAGTCTTCAAATTTCAAGAATTATATTTAAGACTCATCTCTTATTTTTAATTTATTCTGTTTAATGGTGGTAAACCATCATTTCTCTCTTATTTTGTATCTCCATATCTTATGGAAGAGTCGTAAAAAGCGTTGCAATACGAAGTAACAAATTAGGCTGACACTCTCCCACACATAGCGACTAAGAGCAAGAAATATTGCTAAAACATTCTCGTATATAACAAAATCAGCATCATTATCTTTAACACCTACATACTGCATAAATTGTGATGGAAACTTTTTTTCGAGAGAACGCTTTCTCATATTCAAGATACCGTAAATAGTTTTATAGGAACATTCTGTATCGATCTGTACATTTTCATTAGCTCACGGGTGCGTTTTAACGAACTAGGCTTCGGCACGTTTAGTGTAAAACTATTCAGACTACCCAGGTCAAACATCCACGATCGTTAACGATCATACACGGTTTAATACGGTCGTCGTGGCTGTATTTTACCGTAAGTCAGCGTAATGCGTGGTTCAGTATTACGACCATACTTCTCCGTATCATTTTCGAAGAAATACAACCGTAATACTAAGCCATGCATTACGGCAAAATACGGCCGTATAAAGGGCGTAAATCACCTGCATATGATCATTTGCAGTCGTATACACACTTTGTAGTCGTCGACCTGGGTAAAATAGCATCAAAAAAGATAATATCAAATAGGCAGCAGTATATAAAGATAAATTACCTACTTGAAAACGGAACAAAAAGATCAATACTATTTCAACTTTGCGTAGAGGTTATCATATACTACGTGAAGAAAAAGCAACCAATCTAAATGTCTTGTAAAAATAGATAATTTACGTGTTTTAGACTTTAATAGAATTTGCCAGATCCTTTTAACCTTTTAGTACCAACTATATTTGGACATTTTTTTTTCTAGAAATAGAAAATGAAAAGCTAGTCCTGGTCAGCGGTCATGCATCCCTTTCGGAGAATGGGCGTATTGTGGAAAAGCGCCCCTCGTCGAGTTCAGAGGTCTGGCTTCGTGGTTCGATTCTTTATTCATCTGGAATCCATCGCATTTGTATGAACCTTGAAAACATAGAGTTGCCTGTGAATTGTGGTATTATCTCAAAACATCCAAGTTGTCCAGATAAAGGATTACAAGGACAAAAATTCTACGCTTATTCGTGGCAACAAAACAATATATACGAAAAAGGAATATCGAAATACAACGGATGCGATCCATGTAAATATCCGTGGGACAGGATTGAAATCGAACTCGATTGCGAACATCATAAAATTCGACGAAACGTTACGAGTTGCGGACATCGTTATCCTGCAACTGAAATACTAGTCGACACAGAATACTGTCCATTTCCATGGCAGTTTAGATTAGCTGTGTGTGGTAGAATATGGCGTCTCCAATTGGAATGAAAAAACATTTATGAGAAAAGAAATACACCACGATGTGATGATGATATGTTTAATCAACGCACTGTTTTGACTTATTACGAGGTTTTATAACTATTTCTGCACGTCGTTTCCTCTTAATCGCTTCCTATGTTAACAGTCATTGTCTATCATTTATTTCAGATTGATAAACGCTCACTAGCATATTAGTCAAAAAACATCTATTTTATGAATGGTAACTTTCTTCCAAATATCTTTGAGGAACTTACATGAATTATATTAAGGTGAGCTGGAGATTTTATTGACCATTACAATTTTCTATAAAACTATCAAACTGTGTGTAGTTCGATCACTCTTGATCTTCGGCTCTTTAATGAAGTACTGATGTTTAGTCAGAAGTGCTCTTTTATGAGTAGTTTCTTTTGAAACAATATTGTAGTTTTTCTCTTGCTTTGGTGGCCTGACGATACTCTCTGAGTTTTTGTAGGATATACACGTACACAACACCGTAAAAATATTGATGTTTTATCGAAGTTAAAAGGTTTTCCATGCTACCAGCGAACGGCTTTAAGTTTGGAAAAATGAAAAACGTTTCGTGCTTAAGGATGTGGGTGTGGGTGTGAATGTGGGTGCCGGCGTACATGTGAATATAGGTGTGAACAAGGAACTCCTACCCACACTCACACTCTCAAGATATATGAAGGAATAAGAATGATCACAAATTTTGAAGGATAGATACAAAAAATTAAAACAGAAATGTTATGGAAGATTTCCATTTCCTACACATTCATACCAGTCCGGATCAACGTCACACGTATCTTGCGCTAGATTAGCAATGCGCATCATATCGTTGTCGTTAATTGTAAATGGATTTGCAAAAATATCAAGATTTTCTTTCATATGTGTTTCGTTCATTGAGCGTGGATTCGATGCAACTCCCAATTGATGTATCCAACGTAGTATAATCTGTGCTTCAGTTCGATTATAAATTTTGGCTATTGAACTGATGACTGGATCTTGAAGCAATGTAGGAGACATACCTGTTAATGTTTTGTTTTGATGTGTAACGGGATATCGATGTACATCTGGTACTCCTAACGGTGAATAGGCTACTAATTGAATATGATTATTTTGACAAAATTCTAGTAAATCTGCTCGTCCAGTTCTATAATTATATGGATTAAATGAAACTTGATTGACGCTTGGTAATGGCAGGCGAGCATCAATCATTTCTTGCAAATGTGTGGTATTATAATTTGATACACCAATAGATCGAACTATTCCAAGTTCAAATAATAAAAGCATGGCAGACCATGTCGATAGACGACAATCTTTTTCATTGTACGTGAGTGGATTAGTAGTATTACATGCTGGATCAGAACTTTTTGGTACATCCGATTGACCGGGATGTTTCATGGTTGGCCAATGTACGAGTGATAGATCGATCCAAGTCGTTTGAAGTTCTTGCAGAATATCCAACGTTTGATTGATCGTTTCATTGTAGCCTAAAGGAAAAGTCGGTCCAACTTTGCTTAAAATAAAAACTTCTGATCGATCGACGAGACTTTGCTGAATTCCTTGCGCAACGGATCGTTGATTGTAATACGAATTAGCACAGTCGAGTCGAAGTCCACCCGCTTTAGTCAACCATGTGTATACTGCTTTCTGTGTACTAGGACCACATCCAGGTGGTTCTGCGCCACATTCCGGATAAGTGCCATAAGGCACGTTTTGTTCACCATAAAAACCGGTACCAAGACCGAGAGCTGGCATATGAAGACCAGTTTCAGCCGAATTAAATAATGGAAATGAATGAACATTAGTAAATCGAGATGGCGTAGCTGTAGAGGTACGAAGTGCGTGCGTTAAAACGCAGACAAAGAAAAAAAACAAAAGAGACTGTTTCATGATAATATAATAGTGCAACTGAAGGCCGAAAAGAGAAAGTTTTCATTCCTGCACATAAACACCCTTTATCTTATTCTTGATATTTGCGCATCAGCTCACCTAACAAACATCAACAATAACAACATGCCGTTATCATCTTCTGTCTAAGATTCTTTTACTTTTCAAGCAAAAAAAGAAAAAAAGTAATATCAATCGGTAATCAGTACAATACACTAACAGATTGCATAGAAACATTTCAGAGTCATTCTAGAATGTTCATCATTCATTTTTTCATGGTTTAATAGTTCAGGATTAATTTCAATTAGAGGAGCAAATTTCTCCAATCGCAATATTTCCAATGCTTTATCGTGTTTCCGACCCATATCTCCATATTCCATGCCAATTGCTCTATAAAATCCTTGAATAAGTTGGTTACCATCCGTCATATTTCTATAACTATCGTACAGTTCTTCGATCAGCGACATCGACATACGTTCATATAAGAGATGGTTTGAATTATTTGTTTTACAACTGCTACGGGCTAGTTGGTATCTTGTCACTATAGAATTCACCCATTGATCTTTCTGATCATTATACCATTTATGTCGATTCATGTGTAAAGTTTCTTGCAATATGTCTGTTGCACGGTTCACTCTTATTACTCTGACTGAAGTAATGTTCGGATTCTCCATTACAATTCGTAATTCATTTTCACGAAAGAATGAATCTATGTCTGTATCATCGACATTGAGACTAATTTCACCAGTAGCACATGCAGCAAAACCCAAAATATACGTAGGTGTAACTTCTTTTTTGATGCTGTAAGGAATACTCATATCATCCCACATTGGATTTAGAACTGGTAATCCTGCTTCAGTCATGGCTACTGTATGATAAAGTTCTTCACATGTATAATTCTTTTCTACTAGCCAACGTTCAGCAATGATTCTACCTAATCCATAACCAAGAGGATGCGAAGGAATATAACCACCAGACCATAATATTGTTCTACCTGGTGGAGCACTAATTTTACCAGATGCTAACGATGTTTTTGCAAATTCAATAGTATATAATTTAGCTTTCTCTTCCGTAGTATAATGACGTGGATAGATATTTGTAAGGCTGAGAGCAAAGCGTGTTTTCTTAAATACATCAGAGAGCTGGTCCGGAGTCATCGTCGAATAATCATAAGGTCTATGATCATAACCACTGAAATGTAGCCCACTACGTTTTACAGTAACATGATGTTGAATCAATGACTTCGCCATTATACTGGCATTGGAGCGAATAGCTGGAATTGTTATTGATTCATAATGTGCACCACTTACAATTGGGCCCAATGCAAAAAGTCGTGACGATGGTTCACCTTTAGAATTAATGAGTCTAAAGTCATTATCAACATCGAGTCCTCCTCTATGATGCATTCTTGCCAAACCACTAGTAATAAGTTCTTTAGCACACACCGGCATTTGTTCCAAATATTTTGATGGACCAGTATTATTAACAAGTTTTTTTGTATGTACAGTTCTAAAAGATCCATCCTGATTTTTGATAGTCAACTTGAAAGCGATATCTGTAGTAATTTCAATATTGTGCAGTCCGCCAGTAATTTCAAGTCTTCCTTCACTTCGCAATTTGTTAACCCGTTCCCATTGTTCATTGGGTATTCTATATCTGGCATTACCCCATAATGCTCCGTATTTTTGTATGAAAGTTTTCTGTTCAACCTCGTTCATTGCTCTCCACAGTTTATTCGTGTCACAGATCATTGAATCTACTACATCTCGCCAGTTGAATCCAGCTGTACAGGCAATTTTCATCTCCTTCTTGAATAGTTCATTTAAATAATCAGCCGTTATATTTGTTAATTCCTTTATTTCTTCTTCAATCTTTTCAGTTGTGCATATACTTCTGATGTATGGCTTGGATTGATCAGCTACATGTGGAACATTACCATCTCTTGATACCAATAGAAATTTTCCATTATAACCATTATCTATAGCCCAAAGAGAAGAAAAACATGCACCATTTCCTGTACCGATGATTACAGTAAAATCTGTTTCATTTACATTTTCTCGAGTGAAGGCATGATCATCAAGGTTATAATAACCACTTCTACCGCTCAATTCATTACCATACATATCTATAAGTGGTTTTGGATTGGCATTTCCTAATGCATATATAACAGCATCAGTGGAAATCGTCTTTCCACTTCCTAAAGTAATTACGATTTTATTAGCAGCTGTATCGTCCGTAGTTTTAATTGCTCTGTCACGAATAAATTGAGTTTTTACTGGAGCTTTGCTTGACTCAAGATATTTTATGACTGCTGCAAGATGATCTCGAATATATTCACCAAACTGGATATGTGAAACACTAGCATTTGGATCAAAACCTTTCCCAATGGCATAAGTCACATCACGAAATATATTCTTCCATTTTTCTGGATCTTGATTGATATGTTCAATACAAGCCGTTGGTGATTGTATCCCTAGAATTCCTATTGAATTTGCCATAGAAGACTTTGTTGATGTCGG